GTCTCCGACGCTCCAGGGGAAATAGCCTTAGCCTATTCAGCCTCTCCTTTATAGCTGAAACCCTCCAACCCTGGTAACATCCTTGTCATTCTTTTTCTGAACCCTTTCTAGTTTCAAAACATCCTTCTAATAGCCAGGAGACCAGAATTCCACGCAGTATTTGAAAAGTGGCCTAACCAATGACCTGTACAGCTGCAACATGACCTTCCAACTCCTATATGCAATGCACTAACCAATAAAGGCAAGCTTACCAAACACCTTCTTCACTATCCTGTCTACCTGGGACTCTAATTTCAAGGAAGAAATAGCCTGCACTTCAAGGTCTCTTTGTTCAGCAACACTCCTCTGGACCTTACCATTCAGTGTATAAGTCCTATCCTGATTTGCCTTTCCAAAAAGCAGTACCTCACATTTATCTAAATTAAACTCCATCTGCCACTCCTCAGCCCATTGGCCCATCTGATCAAGGTCCTGTTGTACTCTGAGGTAACCTCTTGGCGTCCACTACACCTCCAATTTTAGTGTCATCTGCAAACTTACTAACCATATCTCCTTTGTTCACATCCAAATCATTTCTACAAATGACAAAAACCAGTGGACCTAGCACCAATCCTTGTGGCTGGTCCCAGGCCTCCAGTCTGAAAAGCAACCCTCCACCACCACCCTCTGTCTTCTACCATTGAGCCAGTTCTGTATCCAAGTGGGTCCTTGTCCCTGTATTCCATGTGCTCTAGCCTTGCTAACCAGTCTACCATGAGGAACCTTGTCAAATGCCTTACTGAAGTCCATACAGATCACGTCAACCACTCTGCCTTCATCAATCCTCTTCATTACTTCTTCAAAAAACTCAATCAAGTTAGTGAGACATGATTTCCCACGCACAAAGACATGCTAATCAGATGGTGTGAAACATACGTGGAAAGGGAATGAAAAGAAAATGACAAAAAACACTAAAAGGAAGAAGAAAGGAGTAGAAAAACCAAAAGGAACTGTAGAACAATTATGAAGGACAATAGCTTCCTGCAAATAAAATTCAAACTGACTGGACAAATGTGCAGATAGAATGCAGTTCTTCAGATACACAGCTCTTTGCAACAAGGCGAAAGTTCTCAGACATTGATAACAGAGCAACAATTAGCCAACTCACATTTGGTGACTCCTGCCTTCAAGTCACTTTTCTTCACTAATTCTTCCTATTCATTGATCTTCTTTGGCAGTACAGTTGGCTTGAACTTTTCTGACAGTGAAGTTGTGTGACATTTAGCAGATGGTGATGATTGTTGGCACTTTTAATGCAATGTACAGTTACACTGACAATCGGTCCAGACGATTGAGTTTTTGCTTTGAAAAACTAACCCTGTACTCAATGCAAATTCATACAGCAGCACGGAGTTCCTTTCATTAACAGTCAGTTGTTGTTCTGGGATTCTGGCTGTTAATGGCTCTGAGGTTTGGAGCTATAGTGGAGAAAGGCCAGTCATTAATCAAAACTATGAAGAATGCTCTGATCTTCTGTCTAGCATTCCTGTGCCTTTCAAATAATTATGACACAGAAATAACTGGTTATTTACATACAGAAATATATAGTCTTCATCTTGCAACCAGGATATTTGCTTGCTTTATAATATTACTTTGGTGCAAAATTAAAGGAAACCTATAATCTTTACAAGGATCATTGGGCTTGTGTTTGAGGCCAGGATGATAAGTTTGTTGACCATAAATTGCTACCCAGTAAAAGCCCTGTAGCCTGAAGAACCAAACAGAAGGTGGTAGATTACTATTGTCAGGGAATGAAAAACTTGTCCCTCGCATGCACATGTCGTTAGCTTGATATACCAATGGAGCGCAACTTGGTCACTTAAGCATATGTTCTTTATGGTGGTTTTAACACGGTACTGAGCATCACAGCATTCAAAAGGCCCATCCTTGTTGTCAATGCTGCTTAAAAGTGAATGTCAAACTGGTGACATACTCTGTCTTCCTTATGAAGAGACAACAAAAATGTTCTGCAGATTCAGATTCCGCAGTAAAAACAGATGTGCATGTAATGGCAAAGCTTTAAATGTATTTGCTTTTGTGTCCCCTCATATATAATCTTTTTCCTTCAAATCTGAAAACAATATTAGAACTTACAATAAAATTTCGATCCTCATAACTTTTCCCTGGCTTTGGGTGTTAATTAAAAGTCATAATTAGTGCACAAATGCAAATACAAATCTAACAGAGAAATGAAAGTGTACATTCAACAGTGATAACTCTAACTTTTAGGAAGTTTATATCTCAGGGCTGGGTTTTCTATTAAACAGTTATGGATTTATTTCATAGAGGTTAGCTATTTTGATAGAAGGCAGTGCAAATGCAGAAATGTCAGTTGTGGGATCATTTAGCATATCATTCCAATGTGTTGATGAGACTAACCTTGTATGAATGCAAGGCATAGAAAACCAGCAAACTTTTCTCCCTGAAAAATGCAACATATTGAGCATTGACTACATGTTTTTATAATACCTATTACTAACACGCCACTAGCACAGCCTTGGGAAATGTACTCTTATGTGTCAAACATCCTGATAAGGCCTGTCAAGTTATTCTACTGTTCTGAAAGTGAGATACGTAATTGATTTTCTGACTTGGCTTTCCTAACCAACATTAGGTAAAATGTTGACAGTTGTGTAATGTCTGAAACATACTTGAAAATAATTACGTTTGGACTGGTGGAAACCTGCAGTATTTATATGCAATCATGAAAATAATTGATTGTTGATTCCATAAATTGTAATTCTAGTCTGTATGTGAAAATTCAATGCCTTGGGGCCCAACATTTACATTGCATCACTAATGTATACTATATAAGGTAATGGCTGCGAAGGAGTTAATGTTGGAGACTACAATAGTCTTGAACAGCATTCCGCTTAATTTTCTTATTGGCTGCGTGTGCCTCCGAGGTCCAAGTGCAGCAGTAACTTCTGAAACTGGAAGTTAATGCCACGAATGACATGCCGATGCCGATCATGGAATTTTGGAGCAGCTTGCAGTTTAGAGGGAACGTTAGCCTTCAACCAGCCTTGGTTGCAGAATCGAAGTGTGCAGCCTTAGATCTTGATGAGGTCAGATGTGACATCTCTGGTACCTGATGTTCTTTGCAATTGTGTCTCACTAGCCAATGCAACTTGTACCTATTTTTATCATTCAATGAGCTACATCTTGATGTTAAGACAAGTGCCTTTCCTTGTTCAGACTGTATCAACATTAATCAAACAAACCCTTAAACTCAGTATAGAAAGACAGAGGGCTGTTATGGTACAGCATTCGTTTCCACACATCTGAACCAGGAGGCCTGGGTTCAAGTCACATCCACCAGGGAGGTGAGTAATGACATCTCTGAACAGGTTGATTAGAAAATATCTAGAAAAAAAGATTAAGAACTCTTGTTTTTGTTACTGTTGAAAGTGACTACAGATTTTCTTTTAAAAGAGTAGAAAGGCAGATTAATGGTAACACACTTCTCCAACCACAGGCTGCATAGCGTCCACAAACATACAACAACATCTACCCAAATTCATTAACAGGTTCGCTCCCATATTGCACCTATTAGTGCTGATGACTAGATACTGAAGGAATGTTTTACAGACGAGTTACAAGTTCTTGAAAATTCTAGAATGCATTGCTAATTTTCTCTGAAAACCCAGAACCTAGAATATGCTTGGACAAAACTGGATCCATTGATCAAATCTCGCCTGCTATCAAAAACACGAATCCACAGTAGTAATTGTCATATGGCCCGTTTAAAACTGATCTGAGCCAAAATTCTCTGGCTGCAGGAGATGTTGTAGTTATTAAATATTCTGGAAATTAACAAGGCATTTTGGAAGAGATCTTGCTAGACTTAACCAACTCAGTTTTCACAAAACATTCATGTCTATTTATTATTGAACATCTTAAATCTGCATGCAGTTCAATTCAACCTTTCTATTTTACTATTATAATATGACTATTACTTCCCATGTCCACAGTCATAATGTGGTCAGTTGGTAGACCCATCAGACTGATTTGTGGATGGTTGGTTTGCGATGTAAATGATGCCAACAGTGTGGGTTCAGTTCCTGCACTAGCTGAGATTACAGTGAAGGACTCTCCTTAATTTCTCCCCTTATCTGAGGTTTGGTGACCCCCAGGTTAAACCACCACCAAGTGTCTCCCAATAATGAGGGAGCAGCCCTATGGTCCTCAGGGACTATGATGACTTTACCTTTACAACACCTTTCCACTATGGAGGAGGTAATTACAGTGTGACAAATCACCAGAATGAATATGACCATTTGAGTTCATGATACAAATATCAATGTAAAGACATTAAAATAGAGACAGAATTACACATGCATGGTACACTTCAATTGTCTGTTGGCCTCCAGCCCCAGTGTACCTGAGGACCATGATTCGTCATAATTCCCCATGTGCGATGATAAAGGAATTTGTCTAATTTTAGAGTGAAACAGTTCCAACTGTAATTATCATTTGTCAGGAAAGACATTTTCCACAGTCCTAACAAAACAAAAACAGTCATCCGCTTTGAATTTAAATTCAATTTAAGTCTTCCACAGAGTGGTCAGTGAAATCTATTCTGTGGTAATCTACTCATTTAATCTATTTATGATACTATTCTTTAAAAATGCCTTCTCTCTATAGACTGTTTCTATGCTATCATACTTTGACACGTGCACATAGTTAATGACTTCAATCTATCTTTACCAACTGTTATCAGTCCAGTTTGTTGAAAGGACAAAAGAACCTACTTTAATTTTGGGGATTAGGAAAATCAACTTGTGTGTGAAAATCGGAAGTACTAATTATTGTACTCGATAATATTTAAACCAACAAAATGAACATGGGTGCAAGTTATGATTGGCCAATAACTGACCAGGATTCATGCAATGTCTGAAATATAGCTGAGTCATTCCGTACTAGCCTTCTGACTTTGCTTCCTCTTGTTTTAAATACAGGTCTTGTTAATGCAACTTTTAAAGGACAGAAAAATGATCTGGCTTTCAGGGGGAATGGCAAGATCAAGCGTGAGCTCACCAATATTACATTTAGTTTTCGAACAAGGGACTCAAATGCTGTTATACTCCACGCTGAAAAAGAGCAAGACTTTATCACAGTTGCTATCCAGCAGTGTCATTTAATATTTAAGATGCAAAGTGGAACCAGCCTGGGCAACCTGAGTATACTCAGCTCAAGAGCAATAAGTGATGGTTTCTGGCATGATGTTACATTTTACATGAGAAATCCCTTTCTTCAGTATTCCAGGTGGCAGATGGTAATAGACAAGGAAGAGATGACGACAAGTGCAGTTGTCAGTGGGAACCTGAACTTTTTGTTAGAAGGAACATACATTTATCTTGGAAGTGGAGGCCCTAAAAAAGGAGGCAGCTTCGCAGGATGCCTGAATACATTGAAACTTGGTGGTATCTCCTTACCATACTTCACAACTGACAATATGCAAATTATCCAGCCTCAACAAGAACAATTTATCAAAATATCCTCCAATCATGTAATAATGGGGTGCCCGATGAAGAATATCTGTATGCCCAATCCCTGTAAAAACAATGGGAGCTGTGAGGACATGGTCAGTTACTATCGCTGTAATTGTGCTTCAGGCTGGACAGGTCTGAACTGTGAAGTCAACATTAATGAGTGTCAGTCAAGCCCTTGCATTCATGGCAACTGCACTGACAAAGTCTCAGCATACAACTGTACATGTAAATCTGGCTTCAAGGGCATTAATTGCGAAGTAAACATAGACAACTGTCGGAAGCACAAGTGTGCAAATGGAGCTACGTGCATTGATGCTATTAACAGTTACACATGTAGTTGCCCTGATAATTTCACTGGAAGATTCTGTGAGTAAGTACAAATCAATTGTAAAAATTAACAATGGCGAAACTAATCTGCTCTTCATTTTGCAGCACTTCCAGTCTTGTATGTAAACTAGTATAAAAGTAAATAATTTAGTTTCGAACAAAATTATCTTGTTTCTTCTCAAAATAGACTCTGTTTTGTCCAAATGATGATTCCAGACACTTCCATCAATTTAGGGATTTACCAAGACATTGTACTCACTCTGATTCTCAGCATTCTTCGAAGATGTTGTGAATCTGTGTGTGCAGTTGTATCTCAGCAATACTATTGGGATACTGCAGGCATGGTGCATGTCACATTATTCACTGCAATGCAGCAGGAAGAAATGACACTGTGCTTTCACCCACATTACTTCAGGCAAGGACCACTGATGATAATGATATTATTTCAAGACCAACCACGTGCAAAATATCAGTGCTATCTTTTAACATGGAAATTGGTTTTTATCGAGCCAACATAGAAGTAATATTGACAAAGACCTGCTTAAGCCACCCATGTTAACACAACCGTTCTACCAGCTGTAACCTTGAGGTCATCAAAAACTCTGCTGCCCCTGTCCTAACTCACAGCAAGTCACATTTCCAAATTATCTCCATGCTCACCGACCCTGTGTTCATTTGCAGTCAAGCAATATCATGATTTTACAATGTTCATCCCTGTTTTCAAATCACTCTTGTGCACTTGTCCCTCCTTATCTGTGTAAATGCTTCCAAATCTATATACCACCAAGATTTCTGCATTCCTTTAATTCTGTTGGGTACCCCCAATTTTAATCATTGACAGCCATTCCTTCAGCTGTTTAGGCTGCAAGATCAGAAATTCCTCACTTATGCATTTCTATCTCTCTTCTCATTTAAGGTACTCCTTGAAACCCACCTCTTTAGCCAAGGTTTTGGACATCTGACGTCTCCAATGTGGCTTTGTCATTTTTTTTTTGTTTTATAATTCCCCTGTGAAGTGCCTTGGAATGTTTCATCATGTTAGCAACATTATATAAATATCAGTTATTGCTGCTGTAACTTCGGTTGTGATGTGAAATTGTCTGAAGTAAATGGTGCATTTTTGGCAGCCTTCCAGATGATGTTGCACTATAGGCTTGAGGCAGAAAAATTTGTGGAGGACTTTAGCAGCTGATAGCACATGTCAGTGATGGATGAGGGGTTTTACAAGAGGTTGGAACTACAGGATGTGAGGTTTTTGATATAATGAATAGGAATTTAAACATTCATAAGGGTAGTGGGTGAATTGGACATGGCACAGAAACAGGCCATCTGGCCCAACCAGTCCATGGTGATGTTTATGCTCCACTCAAACCCCCTATATTTCCTTATCAAAATCTAGATTTCTAATCTTCTTTCCTTTCTCTCTCAGACACTGACCTAGCCTCCCCTTCAACACATTCATATTAACATGCGAAGGGGAGGATGAAGTAACCGTGGTTGACAAGGGAAGTCAGGGACAGCATGAAAGCACAAGAAAAAGCACACAATATAGTGAAGATTCACAGAAAGTCAGAAGATTCGGAAGCCTTTTAAAAACCAGCAGAGGATAACTAAAAAAGCAATAAGTGGGGAGAACATGAAATATAATATTAAGCTAGCTAGTAATATAAAAGAAGTTTGCAAGAGTTCTTTTTTTTAGATATATAATAGGTAAGAACAAGCAAAGAGTGAACATTGGACCACAGGAAAATGAGGCTGGAGAAGTGATAATGGGGAACAAAGAAATGGCAGAAGAACTGAACAGGTACTTTGCATTAGTTTTCACAGTGGAAGACACCAGCAGCAAACCAGAACTTCAAGAGAGTCAGGGTGCAGAGGTGAGTGTAGCGGTCATCACTAAGGAGAAGGTGCTAGAGAAGCTGAAAGGTCTGCAGGTGGATAAATCACCCAGATTAGATGGACCAAAGCCCAGAGTTCTGAAGCAAATAGCTGAGGATGTTATAGAGGCATTGGTAATATTTCAGGACTCGCTGGAGTCAGGGAAAGACCTAGAGGACTGGAAACCGGCTGATGTAATATCCCTGTTTAACAAGGGAGGGAGGCGGAATATAAGAAACTATAGGCTGGTTAGCCTGACTTCGGTCATTGGTAAGATGTTGGAGTCCATTACTAAGGATGAGATTGCAGAATATGTCAAAGTGCACGGTAAAATAGGGCTGAGTCAGCATGGCTCCATTAAGGGGAGGTCATGCCTGACAAATCTGTTAGAGTTCTTTGAGGAGGTAATGAGCAAGTTAGACAAAAGAGAGCCAGTGGACATGATCTATTTGGATTTCCAAAATGCCTTTGACAAGCTATGGCACAGAAGACTGCTCAATTAGATGGGAGCCCAAGGGATTAGGGATGAGGTATTGGCATGGATAAAGGATTGGCTGACTGGCAGAAAGGAAATAGTGTGGGGATAAAGAGGTCTTTTTCAGGATGGAAACCAGTGACTAGCGGAGTTCCGCAGAGATCAGTGTTGAGAACATAACTATTCACATTATACATTAACAATCTGGATGAAGGAACTGAGGGCATTGTTGCTAAGTTTGCAGATGACACAAAAATAGAAGAAGGACAGGTAGTGTTGAGGAAGCAGGGAGAATGCAGAAAGACCTGGACAGGCTAGGAGAGTGGGCAAAGAAGTGGCAGATGGAATACATGTGGGAAAGTGTGAGGTTGTGCACTTTAGTAGGAAGAAAAGAGTCTATGCCTCGATTCTAAATGGGGAATGGATTCGGAAATCTAAAGGACCGTGATCAGCTAAATCAAAACATTCCTGCCTGTTTTAGATGGGTGTTCCATTCATCTGCAAAGCCTGCAACATATTATCAGCTGGAGACTGTCAAGCTTGGAGATGTAACCTGCTAAATTTTATCTACCCATCTACTTTGTTGAACCCTGTAACATTTTTAAGTAGGTGATATGAAATGCAAGAGTTCAATATTCTTACTGGAGTTCTATGCATCCCAACATATACTGATCATTACTTTCAGCTGACCATCAGTCCATCCTTGCACATTTTACCTTTCATTACTTTCATATAAAAGCTTCCCATTTCTGGTTGTTCTTTGTTGCTAGTTCTATCCAGATAACCAATCATGTGCAAAGAGCAATGTAATTGGCAAATAAGTTGACACATATCTGCATCAACTGCACAAAATAATGGATTATCCTTAAACAGGTTATATTCAGACATCACAACAGTTGTTGTACACTTTCCTAAGCTAGCAGCCTTTTGATGCACATGTACTACAGTGTGGCTGAGGACATAGTATGGTGAGGGCCAGTAAACAAAGTCAGAAAGTAAGATATGTCAGATTCTCTGGCAATTAATTTTTGAATCAGCCACCAGCCTTCTCTTACAAAGCCAACAAATCAAAAAGCGAGGGATAAGAGCAGGACTGGGACATGACCATTGGAAAAAAGAACCATACCTTAGCAACAGTTTTGGGCATTATTATAGTCTAGTAGGCCCTGTAAGAAGAGTCATTTTAGTGTCTTGTTGATGGGGGCATCCGTAAGGGTTAAACTAGAGAAGTACCCAGGACAGTCTACATAATATCAGTATTGATCAACTACTGGAGCGTGGTAAGAACATAACAAATATGAACAGGAGCCTAGTTAGCCAGGCAATGTGATCACGGCTGTTTTTATTAACTGAACCCCACTTGTCCATTTGCGCTTCTAATCCCTGAGAAATCAGAAACCTATCAATTCCAGCCTTGAATATACTCAATGATGGAAGGTTTACAATCCTCTGGGTAAAAAATTTCAAAATTATAAACTTTCAAGTGAAGAAGTTTCCCCTCATCTCAATCCTAATTGATTGATCTCATGTTTCAGACTCTCCAGTCAGGGGAAACTACTTCTGTGAATCTCCTTCAGCATCTTGCATGCGTCAATGGGATTATCCCTCGTCTAAATTCCAGGTAGCATAAATCACAGCCTCTCAGTTTAAGGCAGCTCCCTTATCCCAACATCTAATCTAGGGAACCCCTGCTGAACCCCCTGCAAAGAAGTTGCATCTGACCAATGAATAGAAAGACCAAAACAATTTCAAGTATGGTCTCATAAAATTCTGTACAACTGTAGCAAATCACTTAATCCCTGGCAATAAAACCAATTTGCCTTTTGCTTTCCTAATTGCCTGCTGTACCAGTATGCAAACTTATTGTGCTCCTTCTATATGTATGCCCAAATCTCTCTGAACATCCAAATTTGTAAGCCTTTTAAAAGATATCCTACTGTTATCAGAGACCCAGATAATGTTTTGGGGACCCAGGTTTAAATCCTGCCATGGCAGATGGTGGAATTTGAATTCAATAAATATCTGGAATTAAGAATCCAGTGATGACCGTGAATCCATTGTCGATTGTCGGAAAAACCCATCTGGTTCACTAATGTCCTGTAGGGAAGGAAACTGCCATTCTCACCTGGTCTGGCCTACGTGTGACTCCTGACCACAGCAATGTGGTTGACTGTGAACTGCCCTCTGGGCAATTCGGGATGGGCAATAAATGCTGCCTATCCAGTGACTCCCTCATCCCGTGAATGAATAAAGGATTATTCATATTGCCAGACTTCACTCTTTCCCACATTGTAGTCCACTCAACAAACCTGTTTCATCCTCTTTGTGCCTGCCTCACAGTTTACGTTCCCATCTAACTTTGTATCATCAGCAACCCTGGACAGATTATTCTTAGCCTCTTTACCTACATCATTAGTGTAGAATGCAAATGGCTGAGACCCCAGAACTGATCCTTTTGGCAACACAATTGTTGCCACCTGCCAGTGTGAAAGTACCCATTTACTTATAATCTCTACTTCTGGTCCTTTTAAACAATCTTCCATCCATACTTTTACCCCAACATCCATGAATCTTTATCCTGCATTATGACCAATTTGTAGCAACTTATCACAGAATTGTTATCCTGCAGATAGAGGCCATTCAGCCCATTGTGTCTGCACCAGCTCTTTAAGCAATTTGATTTGATACCA